GGGGGGGCAGAGGAGCCCTGGCCCGGAGCCCGCAGCGCCCCGCCTGGCTTCCTCCCCGAATCTGGATGCTTGTTCTGGCACAGCCCTGCGGGCCCCAGCGGAGCGGGCTTTTACTGCCTTTCGCGGCCGGGACGGGGATGTCTGCTCCACTGGCGGGGGCAGGGAAAGAGTCTAGGATTTCAATGTCTCCCAGGTGTGGCTCCGTCTGGAGGATGCCTTGGGGAGGCTGGCTGAGGGGCCAGCACCTGGGGGGGGGATGCAGGGAGGGGGCAGGGCAACACAGAGGGGGCGGGGCTCAGGAAGGGGAAGGAGGCCACAGAGGGGGTCTCAGAGAAGGAAAGGGGGCTCCAAGAGGGAGGGCCCCTGGAGAAGCAGGGGCTCTGCGAGGGGCAGGGGGCTCGGAGGGGGTTGGAGGGAGAGTCATTCAGTGGGACAGACGTCAAGGAGGGACAATAGGCTGACAATCCTCCCTCCCACCCACACCTGTCAGCCAGGCTGGGGGAGGGGGCTGACCCACTTAGCTGCCTCCCTCCCAGGCTTCTGCTAATGAGGCTCTGGGCTTTGGGAGGCAGCCTTCCCCCCCCCAGGCAGTGCCTGAGGCTGTCCCTTCCCCTGCCGCCCCTCATTATCTACTGGGGGTGCTCCTGGACTCAGGCAGCCCCCTTATCTGCGACCGTGCCTGCCTGTGGCAGTAAGGAGGCTCTGGGCCCCCAAATGTGCCCTCTCTGCCCCTAGCTCTTCAGTCCCCAGGATTGGGGAGATGAGGGCGCCAGTCCCTGCTGTGCAGCTCAGCTGTGAGCACCTGTGGCCCCACCGGCATGCCAATGAGGAATTCAGGGCGTGGCACGCGCACCGGAGGGCTGAGGCCGGGGCTGCTCTGCCCCCCAGAGGGTCCCAGCACCTGAGGTCAGGATCCCACCAGGCCAAGAGAAGGGCATGTGCAGGGTGAGGAGGGCTCCTGGTGTGTGGAGAGCACAGCTCTGGAGGCTGAGTGAGGAGGAGCCTTTGGAGCGGGGCGCAGGTCTACACGGTTCAAGAATGGGGTGCGTGGGGCCCAGCTCCAGAGGAAGGTGTGGGGGGAGGTTTGCATGGCTCAAGCTCCTGCGGACTGTACCTGGGAGCACAGCTCTGCAGGGACAGGAGCTGGAGGAGCACAGCTCTGCAGGGACAGGAGCTGGAGGAGCACAGCTCTCGCAGGACAATGAGCAGGAGGAGCTCAGCTCTCGCAGGACAATGAGCAGGACGAACTCTCTCAGGGATCCGCGGGAACTCTCTCAGGGATCCGCGGGAACTCTCTCAGGGATCCGCGGGGAGCCCCATGGGAGTGAGAACGCAGGCTGGGGCTGATGTGTGTGGGGAGCACAGCTCTCAAGGACCCTGTGAGAGGATGGTCCAGGGTTCCGGGAGGAGGTTTCATGGCCTCTCCTGACTCCTCCTCCCCCACATTCCTGGGGTGCATACGGGGTCTGGTTGCCGGAGCATGCCCAAGTCTCCCAGGCTTCCCTGACTGTCCAGCTGTCCATCTGTCCTCTTCCCCCCAAGGACCCCAAGGCCCAGGTGGCCCTCTCCCACACAGTGCCCTCATTAGGGAAGGGCTTTGAGACCCTTCTGAAGCATCTGCCCTCACCCCCACCCCAAACCAGCTGCAGGTTGGGCCCCTGGAGCCTGATAAATATTTATGACCAGATAAGCTGCGTCTGCCAGGTCCCTGCCTAAACCTTTGTCCTGAGAGCCTGAGGGAGAGTCCTGGTCAAAACCACAGACCTTGAGTTTCGGGGGCAGAGCTGGGGCTCCGGACCCTGGATTCTGGCCCCTGGGTCAGGGCAGGGAAGGTAGGCTGGCCCGGCTCCCGGTAGTGAGGGGCTGGCACCGGCTGAGGGTGGGAGTACCAGCTGAGTGAGGGAGCTACCTCCAAGGTGCCACACTGGCCGGCGTCACTCTCCCTGGTCCTGGCAAGTCTTGTACTGGGGACAAGGGTACACACTGTACTTAGGACACATTTCATTCCTGCTCCAGTGTAGACAACTTCTGTGTCCTAGAGGGGGCAGCGATCCATGTGGTCAACCACAGATTCCAACCTGCTTTCAGGGTGCCGGCCCGCAGGGCAGCCAGCCCAGCTCTGCCCAGCCCGGCTCTGCCCAGCCCGGCTCAGGGCTGGGGGCGAGGGGGAGGGGCAGCCCAGGGGGCCTGTGGAGGGGCCTGTGGAGGAGCCCGCCTCTGGCTCTCTGGCTTTGCCTTGTGGGCCACACATCCTGCTTTTCTGGCTCATTCTCCGAGCCTGGGTGCTGCCTGGAGGAGCCCTTGAGAGAAAGGCCACCGGGCTCTTGGTGCAAGGCTGGGGCTGAGGTGGATGGGCTAGGGTTGGGGTCCTCAGCTCAGGGGCCAGCTTTTGCATGCTCCTGTGGGTCACATACCAGCCGAGGTTGCTGTGACTGCACCCCACTTGGTGAGGGTGGGAATGGGGACTGAGGCAGCTCGAGGGTCCCTGCTCTGAAGAGGGGTTGGCCATCTTGGAAGTGCGTTGAGGCCAGAGGTGCCTGCAGTGCCTGTGTGCCCATGTGGTGTGCCCAGGTGTGTGAGTGGGAGCCAGAGGCACGGCCTGGGTGCACCTGTGCCCCGTCCCTTTCGAGGCCAGGGTTGGTTCTCCCTTCCCACAAGCCATAACTCCAACCTGCCTTCCATAATGGGTGACAGTGCCCCATCTGACCCCAGTCAAGATGCGGGTGGCAGAGGGCACATGGGGCCTCGCCAGGAAGGTTTCTGTGTTTAACAGAATTGCTGCTGCTGAAGGCCATGGGCTGGACGAGGGGGAGGGAGAACCCTGAGGGCCCGCACTGGGCCCAGGTCCCCGCCCAGGGCTGGGAGGAGGAGCTATGACAGAGGGGGGCCCTTCTGGGCTCAGCTTTCCTCCCCTGGAGAGGGGCCCTTGGGCTGGGGGTGCCAGGAAGAAATGCCTCTCCGCACCGGCCAGTCTGCAGCCTCCAGAAGGACAGCCTAGGCACTGTCCTGGGGGGCAGGAGGACACACCCGAGTGCCTGGGGTTCTTCCTTTGCAGTCAGGAGGTGTCTGTTACCCGCCCGAGGGGTGCTTTTCCCCTAGACAACTTGCTCTTCTCTCTACCCACCCAGGTAGCCCCGGGGCTTATGCAGCCCCCCGGGGGCTCCAGTCTCCTCAGTTGTGTGCCCAGGCCATGCTCCTGCAGAAGGACACTCTGGGAGTGGGTCTGGGAGTCTAGATGGTAACAAGCCTGCTTGAGGCTGGCAGTTGGGAAGGTAGACACCCCCACCTCCTTTGCTGATGGTCCAGGGTATGCATGCACACACACACACACACACACACACACACACACACACAGAGCCAGGTCTCCAAGGCCACAGGCAACCCATATAATCTCTGAACCTCAGCTACACTAATGCATTAATGGAAAAGCCTGAGACTCTGGAGCCAAGATGCTCCCAGGTGAGTCTAAAAGCATCTTATGGCGTCACTGGGAACCCCAGAGACTGACTGATGGTGGGTCAGGTCACGGGGCCAGTGAGCCTGAGTGTGCAGCCTGAGTGTCCATGGAGCCTGTGGATGTGACAGGGTCATTGGTGGTTCCCAAGTCAGTCCTGAGCCTGCACCAGGACCTGTGGAATGTGACCTGTGCTTCTGACTGCCAGGCTGGCCTGGCTTCCAAGAGGGCTGGTGGTGCCTGCCCCTCCCTGGGCCTTCACACTAACCTGGGCCAGGTGCTGGGTCTGGAGTCTTAGAGGCTGGGTCCTGGAAGGGAGGACTGCCACCTTGAGGAGCCATCCTCTAGGTGTGTGGTCATCCTCCAGGTGTGTGTAGCTGTTTTCGGGGTATTACAGAGCTGTCCCCCAGACCTCACAGGGCTGGTTCCTGACCATGCACTTTTCTTTTTCGGGACCAGTGGCTGATGTGACTCCCAGCCTGCCACTCCCTAAGGTCAGGACCGACTTGGATGGTCTCTGAGTCCCAGGCTGTGCCCAGTTAAGCAGGCTCAGGATCCCCTCAGGGCTCTTGGCCAGAGACATGTGAGATAGGGGTGGGTGATGGGGGCTAGGGCATTACTCCCAACAATCTTTCTCCCCTGATACCACTGCGAGGGGGAAGATGCCAGCCTGGCTTTCGGGCCCCTGAAAAGGTGGGGGTATGTGATTCCAGGCCACCCCCCACACATACATGCAACTGCCGTAGCCCAGGCCCAGCCTCCTCTGCCCACCCCCTCCGGCCACATCCCAAATCCCCAATCCCAGCAGCAGACCTCGGTGTTTGCCTGTTGCCATGGCAATGGGATGCACCTTTCTGTTACCATGGCAACCAGCCAGGGTTTTTAAAATTCAGTTGAGGTAATTTTCACCCCTCAATCCTCATCCTCAGACACCTCATTCTTCTCTTTTCTTCTCTGAATCTTAGGAGGCTGGGGTGGGGACACCACCACCAGCCAGAGGTAGAGGGTCGGAGAGGCTGATGGGAAAACTGACTCAACCCTCATTCTTCCCTGACTCCTTCGCCCAGAGGAGACCCTGGAGAGCAGTAGCCTCGTCCCGTCCCCTTGGGCCCAGGTTTACAGTGAGATGAAGGCTCTGTTGGCTGGGCACAGAGGCCAGCACTCCCGGGAAGCCTGGCTGTGTGTCTGCAGGAACAGGGGTCAGCAGGGACCCTTCCCAAACTCCCCCCTGCGTCCCCAGGCTCATCTGAGGTCTCAAGGCACTTGGCCTGCCCGGACCACAGGACAACAGGGGGCAGATGTTGTTTACGCCATGTCCTTGTGCTAAGGAGCTTAGCTTAGGGGAACCCCGGCCTGGCAGGATTTGGGTAGAGCACATCTGAGGTTGGAGGGAAGAGGATGTAAACACTGTCCATTACCTGGTGCCTCCTCCCCTCTAGGGTCCTCACAGGCTCCAGCTTCATTAGTCTGGTCATTGTAAATTCATGAGGCCAGCATCCCCTTCCTGCCCCCACCTGCCTCCTGGCTGGGAGAAGCGAGCTGACAGCCCAGGACAGACAGGTGGATGTCTTCCTGAGCAAAGCAGAGTGTTTATCAGGTGGGTGCCAAGGCCAAAGAGAAGTTGCTCTCAGCTTCCCTGCCCCGTGGGCTCAAGGGCCAAGACCATGTAGCAATAGCCCTTCCGGGGACACAGATGGTCAGGCCAACCTTGAGGGGCGACAGAGAACCCCCAGTTTGAGCTCAGGCTATCTGAGGCCCTGCCCACATCTGCTGCTCCCTCACCGAAGGCAGGGAAGTCCCAGGTCCCAGAAAGACTGTGTGGGTACGTGTTGCCCTCTCCAGTTTCCTCTAGTAAATAGCAGCTCCAGCCTGAGTCTACCCACAAGGCCCTGTCAGGGTCCACAGGTGGCTGAACACCTGGGTCTGCAGCCCCCATGTGCAGGATAATAAAGTCTAGGTTTGACACTTTTCATGAGTTATTATTCCCACCAGCCCTGTAGGCTCAGTTGGCCCAGACAAAGCCACAGGGTTCCCGATAGCAAGCATAGTCAACTCTTTTCTCTGCTAGCTGCTGGGAGAGCTGGGGGATGGGGGGGATGTTAAACCAGAGACCTCTGGGAAGGGGTGGTGGGGCCTGGGGGGACAGGATGAAGGAGGTGTGCACACCGCCCACCAGCTGCCTGCTTTTCTTTCTGCCCTTGCTCCTCCCAGGCTCCCAGACCAGGGAAGCCTCCAGCCAGGATGAGGAGAGAGCCCAGATCAAGCCCTAGTGAGAGTGGGCATGTCCTAGATGGGGACACCCTGGTCCCTGAGCCTTTTTCCATGCTCAGCACCCGGGGATCTCTCTGCTTACCTCGCAGGCACTGCCATCCCCGCCCCCAGCAGTCTGTGGCTCCCAAGCTCCCGGAAGAGCTTCCTAGTCCCAGGAAACTGATTGTGAACCGACTACAGCTCTGCCGGGGCCTCCACACCGGAGACCCGGTAGCTAAAGTCCTGGGGGGCAGGCTGCTGGAGGCTTCTCGCGTGGGCAGCAGGTGCCTGGTGAGCCTTTCTCATCGTGAGCTGCTGGTGGGGGCTGGCATCAGCAAGGCACATGCGCTGGGGAGAGCCTCGGAGAAGGTCTGCCGGCCCTGGTGGCCTGTGGAGCCTGGAGCCCCCACTTGGAGCCAGAGAGGTGCGGGTGAGAGAGGGACCAGCAGGCATGGCCTCCAAACCTTTAACGGGGAGAATGAGGGCCGGATGGGAATAAGACCATCTCATCCTGGGACACCTGATGGTCTAGATTCTGGGCACCACCTAGACTCTGGGCACCTTCTGTCCTCTGGGGTTAGAGCCAGCACCCTGCCCCCACACTCCGCATGCGCACATGACTGGCGGAGCAGGCCTCAGACTCACTGCTGGGGTTCCTTGACCAGCCTGATCTCTGAACACTAAGAAACCCCAAATTGCTTTGCCTCAGGGGGGGGGGTCCTTGGAGGCCTCAGAACCAGGAATTAGTACCCAGGAGGCTGCCTCCCCAGGGGCCATTTAAAAGAAAAGCTGAAGAAATGCCAGTAAGTGTTTATAGCCAGCGCAATGTGCCAGACCGAATCCAGGACGCATGCCCTCGTGCCCCCTGCCGGCCGAGGGCTGCGCAGCCCACTGGAGAGCTGGAAGGCCCGACTGCACAGGATCTGCACAGCCCTGGGAGCCAGATGGTGGGGGCGGGGCAATGCCTAACCCAGGGCACGGCGCGGTGGGGGAGGGGCCCTGAGCAGAGCCATTACTCAGATGGCCAGGGCAGGGCTAGCAGCCCAGGTGGGCAGCCCTAGTCAGTGAGAGGGGTTGGTTGAATAGGCCTCCTGGCAGGGGATCGAAGAGCCCAGTCCCCCAGGGTGACGCTAAGGCTGTCAGACCATCTGTATAGTGGGCACAGGGTGTCTGCTAAGGAGTGAAGGATATAAATGGTCCTGTCAGCAGCTTGGTGACCCAGCAACAGGAGCAGGGGGCAGACCAGAGCTGAGAGTGTAGGGAGCATGGGGTGTCATTGAGGCTGGTCCCTACTGCTGGCTGAGCAGATGAACATTAGAAGCTTAGGAAGCCCTCCCAACCCACCCACCTGATGACAGGGCTCTCCATGGAGCCGCTGAAGGAAGCATCCCTGACCCCTGACATGACAGCCCACTGGCCTCCTGATGGCCTGACAGCCCCTCCCTCTCAGGTCTCTCGGGGCTTGTCCGGGGCCCAGCAGCATGGCACCTACTCCTTCGCTCCAGCCTGCTCCAGGAAAATCCTGGGCTCTGCAGGCCAAAGCCACATCTGGCTAAAGACGCACCCCTCTCTATCCACCACCCACCCAGGGCCCAGGAAAGAGAGGGTGCACAGGCAGTGTACAATCAATGGACTTGCCGTAAAGCCTCGGAAATGTACCTGTACCTGGTCAGTCACTCCATCAGTTGGCTGAGTGGCACCCAGGCCTGCCAGGACCTGAGGACCAAGTGTGACTGATACAGAAGTGCTCTCCATCCTCCCAGAGCTCACAGTCCCCTGGGCAAGGAGGACAAAGCGGGTGCAGGGTGGTTTGACTGTGACGGGCCACAGGCGGGGTGAGATGCCAGGAGGGACTAGGGTGGCTTCTCCAAGGAGAGTCCCTGAGCTGAGCCCGCCAGGCCAGCAGCGTCCAGCTGCAGCCCAGAGCGTCAGGCACGTCAGGAGCCGGGAAGAAGCCCTGGCTGGAGCTATTTCCCCAGGTTACCCCGACAGCAGATCTCCGCGGAGGGTGACGGGAAGGGAGGTTGGAGAGGAGCACGCGTTGGGAGGCAGCCTGGGGCTGTGGAGCCAGGACAAGGCAGTGGCAGGGCCTCGGGTCACTGCTCCTCAGTGACCTGAAGGACGGCCAGCTCAGATCTCACCGGCAGCTGGCTCCACTGATCCACCTGGAGACAGAACCCAACCCGGAAGTAGCCAGGGAACACCCAGGCCAGGACACTGGGGGCAGACTGGATGCTACTTGCCACCTCGGCCTGATCCTGACGGCCTTACCTGGACTCAGGTGTCCCTTCCCCGCAGGTACAGACAGCTGTCGTGTGGCAGGCAATCCATTCCCAGAGACTGGTTTGTCTACCCCGGGGCCTGCTGGGGTGACCCCTCATGCACCAGCCCGGCGTGGACCAGCCCCCCTGCCCAAGGACACAGGTGAGGCCCATTTTCCACAGCCTTCTTCCTGGGAAACCATCTGCCCTGCCTAGGTTGCCTGAAATGGGCAACAACATCTGAACGAGCAACCCTGGAGCCAGGCAGGGCTGGGGTGCATTTCCCCAGCCCTGCTCTGGGGCTCACAGGGGTTCCCACCACTGTCCATTGCCCCTGCCTGGTGACCACATGGGCCTCCAACCCTTCAGCATGGCTGACCACTGCCACCCACATTCAGCCAGGCTGACACTCTCGGACCCTCCCCAGACAACCTGTCTTCTCCTGGCGCATGAACGGTCTGGAAGACTCCTCGAAAGGCCCTCCATCCCATGCCATCACGCCGATGGAGCTGCGCAGTCCTCCCCAGTGCCCACCTCTGTCCCGATGTGGAGGGCAGGCTGGCACCCAGAGAGACACAGTGTGGCCTGCAGTCATGGCTCTCCGGGGTGAGTGCTCTCGGGCTGATGCCTCCAGTTTGGACCAGCTGTTCCTCCTGCTCTCCCTCCTCCCCACAGTGACTTCACTGCCCCAAGGCCTGATGCCACCCTATAGGGCTGGGCCCAGGTGTGAACTGCCCATCTGAGGCCCACACTCAGTCCAGCTGTCCCTGCCCCAGGCCACCTGGGGAAGAAGGGGCTGGCATGGACCTCCCCCACTCCCCTGACATCTGGCGCTGTCCTGTTGGGGAGCCCTGTGACCTGGGGAGGAGGAGCAGCCCCGTAGGCCTCGGATCTCTGAAAACTGGGGATGATGGGCTGCCAGGACCTGGGGTGACCAACACAGAGGTGTTCACTGTGCTCCCAGAACTCCCAGCCCCACAATCAAGGAGGACAAACCATCTGTGGGCTGTGGGGCTGCTGCGGACATAGGAGCTGGGTCCTCGCTGCCTGGAGCCCTCGAGGTTCGGCTCCCACCTGGCCTGCTGCCCAAGAGCGGGGCGGGGTGTGTGGGCCTCAGCGCATCTTTCACAAGGACTACCAGTGCTCTGGCTCCTGAAGGGAGGGCTGGGGCCGGGGTCCTGGGTACCTTTGACTGCATGGGCCTGCCAAAAGACCCAAGGGCCCACAGGGGTCCCTCTACCTTTGCTCTGAGACCTGGGCCAGGGAGGAGTGTGAGGGGTGCCAGCCCCTCCCTCTGGTACTCCAAAAAGCAGTGAGTACATCCCCTGAGGTTCATTTCCCATTTCCTGTAGGTCGGGTCCCAACCTGACAGGCATCCCCTCTCACCTCCCAATCACCATTCCTCCAGCCCCGCCCCTCCCGCCCCTCCCCCACCCGATCAGCCGTGCCCACCCCCAGAGTGGCTTCCTCTCACCGCCTCTCACTCCCGCGCAGAGGAGGGGGCATTAGCTGGCCCCAGTCTCCCTGAGGTCCCTGTCCTCACCCTTCTGCCCTTCAGGAACCCCCCTCCCTATCCTGAAATACCCTACCCTTCTAGACCTCCCTCCCCCACCTGCGACTCGGGGTCCCGGCCCCCACCCCCAGCAAACTTGGCTCCTTTCAGCTCCCCTCCCTGGCGGGCAGAGGCAGGGCGTTCAAGTCCATTTAATCTTGGCAGAATGCAATTTCCTGCTTCAGGGAGCTGGCGGGTTTAGGAGGCTTAATGAGGGGGGAGGGGGCGATGGGGAAGAGGAGAGACTGAGGGGGGCTGGAGAGACAGAGCCCTGAGAGGGGTGGTCCTGGGAGCTGGGCTCTGTCTGGTGGTGGCCTGGGGGGGTCTTTGGGATCATGAAGGGGTCAGCCCTTCAGGCTCTCACTGGTAGGTTAGGGCTATCAGCAACCGCCCTTAGCCCCCCTTGTGGAGTAGAAATGGGAGGAGAGGAGGGGCCTCAGGGTGGCCCACAGTCAGTGAAATGGGGGAGGGTCAGGGGCTGAATGACCATGAAGTGGTGGGGGTGCAGGTCCAAGTGTGCAGGTGGGGGAGGGGTCCTGGGGGAACGTACATCTGGGGGCTGCTGGGTGGGTTTTGCACTCTGGGCGCATTCTGGGGAAGTGTGCAGCTGGCAGGTCCCAGACCCCCAGGTGGGGGAGTGGGCAGCTGGCTGGAATTTCAGCCCCAACGGGATGCTTATCTGGATACTGCCACCAAGAAGGCAGAGAAGATAAGGGACAAAGGGGCCTCTGAGCTGCCGGAAGCCCCACACCTGGTGGGGGCAGGGCGGCCAAGAGCCCTGCCTGACGTCCAGAACACAGACAACCCCTGGGGGGGCTAGGCATCCTCTGCTTGGGCCTCTCCTCACCCCTCCCTGCCTCTCCTGACGGTTCAGCCAACCCAGGAGACTGTCCGCAGGCCTGTGGCACGGGACCACCCTCAGTCCCAGAGCAGGCAAGGGCAGAGCCTGGTTCCTACCAGGAAAAGCAGCAGCCTGTGGTCCTCCAAGAGCAGTGCCCCGGGCCCCAGGGGTGGGGGGACAGAGCCAGGAGGCTGGAGACGGTTTGGGGGCTCTGGGAGGCAGGGCCGAGGCTCCTGGAGGCACCTCCAAGCCGGCTCCCAGCGGAAGCCCACTCTTTCTGCTGAGAAGTCTCACTCAGCGGGCCTGGGAAAGGGCCCGTGGAAACCATGGAGGGCCAGAGCCCTCGGCCCCCTGGCACGTGGGGCCCTCTTCTGGACCTCAGTTTTGCCATTTGTGAGTAAGGGTGCTAGGAGGGGATCTCTAAGGAGTAGCCCAACCTCCTGGGAGCGGGTGGGCCCTGCCCCAACCCAAGGGTCATTGGTAGGTGTGTTTGAATAGCAGCCAGTGTGAGGTCACTAGGAAGCTGGGAGGGTAGGAGGTTTGAGAGGGACACAGCCTGTGGCCTTGGGTTCTCTCGGAAGCCTCAAGGTTCCCCAGCTCCCCATCCCTCGAGAAAGCAGCGTGTTCTCTAGACAGGCATCCCGTCCCTCCGGGAAGGATGGCTCACAAGCTACCAATAGACTGAGCTCAGGCAGCCGAGGATCCCCAGCCCCGCAGTGGGCTGACCTTGTTCCTCACACCTCTGCTTCCCCTCCCGACTAGCTCGCCAGCTGCTTGGGGCCGGTGGCTGCCCCCTCACTTGGCCTCTTGCTCTGTCTGGGGCCTCCCCAGGGTCTGTTCCAGGGCCCACATCTGCCTCTTGTGTGTACCCCTCTGCTCTTCACCTTCCCCCCACTTCCCCACCTGTGCCCTCTCTCGTAGATTCTGATGCCGAGTCCTGCTCAGGGAGTCACCGTGACAGGTCCTGCCCCCAGGCTCTAGCTCAGGTTGTTTCTGCATCCTTCACCTGGGAGATCTCTAATTGGCTCTTTCAGGCCCAGCAACAGCATCACCTGCAGCAGCATCACCTCCATGCAGCCTTCCCCGAGTCGCCCTCCCAGCCCTTTGGGTACCCTACGTACACCTGCCAGGATGCCGCCCTGCTGACCTGGGAGCTGGCCTGGGGCAGCCTCGCCAGCTGCCGATTCGCACAGCTCCTGGTTCACAAATGTTTGCAGGAACTGTGGGCTGGACGTGGGGGGGAGCTGGAGTGGGGTTGGCTGCATCAGGGGGGAGGTAGGGGTGTGTTCTGGGAGTCCCGGGTGGCCTGCTTTGCTAGCACTGTGTCCCCATGACAGCCCCCTTAACGGCCCTCGGGGGGACGGTGAAGCGCCATTGCTGGCAGAGGATTCGGGCCGGCGTGTGTGCTGACATGGGGGTCCTGGGAACCTGACGCGCAGAGGCAGTGGCCGGACATTGGGTCAAGGCTGCCCGTCCTGAGTGGGCCCTTCTGCTGGATGCGAAGGCAAATGCCAGTCCACTTCCTCCTGGGCCCCAGCCTGGGGCAGAGCAACTGTGTCCCTGGCGACGGTGTCTGGGTCCCTGTCATCCACTGCGGAAGGACAACGAGTCAACGAAGGTGACATGGGCAGAGTGTGCCCTACATGTCGCTCTAGCAATCTGCTCTTATTGGCTTATTTTATCCTTCCAGCACCCTGGGAGGGAGGAACCTGCTCTCATGTCACAGCTGAGGACACAGGCCCAGAGAGCAGGCAACGGGCGATGCACAGCGTGGGGTGTGGGAGCCTCGCAGCCAGTGGGGTCCGGGTCCTTGGTGGGCCCAGCAGGGTCCTTGTGCGTATGTGCACGTGTACAGCACCTGGCTCTGGCCCTGATGTGTGGGCAGACAGAGTGAGGCACCGTGAGGTCAAGCTGCTCGGTGGCCTGCCTGTGCCTGCTACGCTCCACTCCCACGGAAGCTCCAGGCTGCTTGGACAGCAAGGCTGGAGCCGCAGGGCCCCTGCCCAGGTCACGCCCGTCTCCACACAGACTTCTCTAGATGCCAGGCCCTTTTCTGCTTGGGGTCCATGTCGCGGCCTCACGGGACCTCTCCAAGGTGTCAGCAAAGGCCTGAGCCCTGCAAAGACTTGAACTCCCAGCCCTGAACCGTCAAGGTCTCCTAAGGTGGCCCCAACCCCCAGCTTGAGGGCTATAACCTGTCCTCCTGCTCCTCTGGTCCGCAGGCCAAGCTGGCCGGGGCCTGTCCTACCACTTCTTAGAGACCATGTTGTTGAAACGTCAGGCCAAGCGGGGGTGGAAAGTCAGCAGTGGGGACTTGGTGGCTTCCTCACCCAGTGTGCAGGGCCAGAGAACCGTCCTCCCAGAACCAGCTGTGCACCCTTAGCCCAGGGAGACGCCACCAGACCCTCCGGAGCTTCTGGTGCAGAACGAGGGTGAGAAGTGTGGAGACGCCAGCCTCTGGCCCAGTGCTTGGCACAGGGTTGAGCACATGATGTCTGCAAAACGGATGCATGGATGACATTTGACTGAGGCACAAGGCAGAGTGAAGAGTTTCCCCCAGAAGATCAGAGGACAGAGACTAGCTGGGTAATCAGGGAGGCTCTTGGGGAGACAGCATTCCAGCCAGGCCAGAAAGACCAGGAGAAGCTCCCTGGGGATATTAGGGAAGACACCCTGTGGGTGACAGGCCTGGGCAGGGGCCTGAGCAGCACGGGGGTAGGAACCATGCAGCCAGGCCCTGGGGATGCGACTCCCCATCACTGAGGTTTGTCTGGGAGCCCCTGCCGGACCCTCTGCCCGACCTTCTGTCCCTTAGCAGGCAAACTGGGTTTTGCTGGTTCTGCCTCAGACTCTTAGGACCGTCCTTTTGTCTTCCCATTTGCCAGTTGGTCTGGTTTGGCAGAGGGTGGGGGTCCCTGGCCTGGGAAGGTGTGGCAACCCCATCTTAGGTCCCCATGGGGAGAGCAGAGGGGTAGGGTGAATTCTCTAGAGCCCAGGACCCGCAGGGCATGCAGTCCCATCTGGAGGCTGGTAGTGCCCTTGATCAACAAGTGACAGAGGGAGCAGGAACTGCCCCCCCCCCCCGACCCCAGCAAGCCCACCATGAGAAAACACGAGGTCCAGGGAAGCAGGGGAAGGGGTGGTGCTGAGGTGGAACACAGTCAGGATTCCTTCCACACTCTGGCTAGTGGAGACACATGCATGGGGCCCTCCCCAGCTCAACTCTTACCTCCTTCTCCTTCTCCAGGGCCCCGCCCCCAGCTGAGGGCCTCAGGACGATGGAGACTCAGCCTGGACCAGCCTGTGTAACCCAAGGC